TATATATATATATATATATATTGCTAGAATTTTGTATCTAATTTCTTCTAATGATTAAAATTGTTCTTATATTTAAACAAATAGCATTACACACTATCATTCAATATATGTTTGATGACAATTTTAAATTAAGTCAAAAAGTTATTTTTTCTTGTGTTGGAGCACTTCTCTCCCAACTTTCACTTATTTTTGTTTTGTTCTTTTACCCATTTCTCTTTATCTTTTAGAAAAGATTTTCTTCTTCTCGTGTCATTCTTATTTGCACCTTTTTGAATCTACAAATTTTCTGAACAGATAGCTCTGATACAAATTTAGGGCAAGAACCTACTTCTATTTTCATATTGAGCAGATATATATTTTCCTTCTATTTTTTCTCTCCTTCCATTTTGATACTGAGGAGCATAAAGATATATTCTTCATAGAGAAATACACTTATCATGTAACATTTCTTCCTATGTTTAATCTTTCTTTCTATTTTGATTTTATCTTTACAATTTCCGTTCATTTTTATATTGAGGAGCAAGAGAATATTTTTTTTTATTTTTCTTTGGGAACTTTGTTTCCTGTAATTTGTATCTAGTCATTTGACTAGATGATACTTATATATGATGTGCACTATTTTTTCGACTTCTGCAATGCAATTCTTAGCTCTGATACTATATATTTTTTAAGTATTTGTGAAAATGGCTAATATAAATGCAAGACTTACATGTCTTTCTTTTTCTTAAATTCACTTTCATATGTCTTTGTTCTATTTTTTTAATTATAGCAGTCAAATAAAAAATTTTGAAAAAATTATTTGTAGAGATATAAGATCCTTTTTCAATTTTCAATCATATCAATCAGACTTGATATATGGATCCAACTCCCCTCCATTTCATATTCTCTCCATTTTTTCAAGTTCCTACTTGGATGGGAGACACTTGTCATGGTTAATAATCAGATTTAATTGAATAAAATAAAGCCCTAACCATAGTTTAAGTATTTAATTCCTTATTTTATTCATTCCCAAATATCTTTTGCAATCCCACAATTATAGCGGTAGATCTTCCTTTAATCTTTCATTCTTCGCGTCAAAATACTTCCGCTCTCAAGACACCCCCGAAAATCATGGCACCAGAGTAAATTAACATGAAAATCCAGTCTTTGAAGGTAATCAACAGAAAAAAATGCAGCAAAAAAAATGCAACAAGTGAAAACATTGAGAACAATACAGCAAGTCGTGGAACTTCATTCTGAACAATTCTCGCCAGGTTCTTCTTTCTCCATTAACTTGGTTCCTTAGAAGTTAGATACTTTTTTGTGTATTTCTTGTTGTGGCAATTGTCGAGTAAAAAGTTGTACACCATGTGTTTGTGGAATTTACCAACTGAACTTTTTGGTGTGGGAAGAATGGACTTCGATATTGGAATTTTTTATCTGAATCTTTTGGTGTGGAATTTCAAAATTTCACTATTCTGTTCTTTGGTCTACTAGATTTTGACTTGAAAGAGAGTAAATTTAAAAGTTTATCATTTTAACTTATATATAAAATCAGATTTGATTATCTTATGAGTCAAGGTTAATCGATCGTCAAACTAGTATATTATTATGCACTATTCTCTAAGCTTGCTGAATTGTATCAATCAAATAAAAAATTGGGGATTTGCAAGGACTATGTTTCATAATTACTTTATAAATCAAGTGTTAAGCAAAATCTACTACGAAGTAAGTGCTGACTTATGACATGTGTTTTACTTTCTCCCGTTTAATAGTAGATTTATGGAGATCCCATCTCAAAATAAATATATGGATGTTTCTCATTTATTTGAGTCAATAAAAATTGGGATAGAATTTGATTCAGAAGAGTATGCATATGAATATTACAACAAACATATTGCTACAATTGGGTTTAGTGTTAGAAAGGAATATGCAAACAAAAGTAAAGTCCATGGATATGTGACTTCGAGAAAATTTACATGTTATAAAGAAGGTTATAGAGGAAGAGACAAGCGAGATGCGATGGTCAAGAAACCTATAAAGGAAACTAGGACAGGTTGTTTAGCTCACATGGTCGTAAGTTGTCAATCAAATAAAAAGTTTTCTGTCATTTTATTTGAAGAGAAGCACAATCATCCTCTCATTCCTCCATTTCTAGCTCACATGTTGCCCTCGCAAAGAAATATTAAAAATTTTTAAGCATATGAAATTGATTTATTGGATGATTCAGGAATATGTCCTAAATCATCTTTTGACTATACTTCTCGTTTAGCTGGGGGAAAAGCTTCTTTAGGTTATACAAAGAGAGATCACTTAAACTATCTTCGTGACAAAAGAAAAGAAAGTCTAAAACAAGGAGTGGATCGTAGTTTGGTAGATTATTTTGAAAAAAGAATAATAAAAGATCCATCTTTTCGGTTTTCTTTACAATTGGATGATGATGGTTTGATAACAAATATTTTCTGGGCTGATGCTAAAATGATAAGAGATTTTCAAATTTATGGAGATGTTGTATCATTTGACACAACATATAGAACAAATAAGGAGTATCGGCCATTGGCTTTGTTTGTTGGGTTAAATAATCACAGGAAAATCGTTGTATTTGGTGCTGCCCTATTATATGAAGAAACAACTGAAGCGTTCGAATGGCTTTTTACTATATTTTTTAGAGCTATGTCCGCACATAAGCCAAAAACATTCATCACATATCACGATCCCGCAATATATTTAGCAGTCTCATTAGTGATGCCATAAACATATCATCGTCTATGTATATGGCACTTGGAATAAAATGCATTTAAAAATCTTAACCATATCTTTAGAGCTCATAAATCATTTCCGAGTGATTTTAGCAAATTGCTTTATTATTACGAGTACGAAGATTTTCTAAATGCATGGGAGGAAATGCTTAAGAAGTACGACCTTAAGGATAATAGTTGGTTGAAAAACACCTTTTATATAAGGAAAAAGTGGTCCATGACATATGATAGAAATGTATTTTCGGCAGGTATGCGAAGTACACAATTGAGTAAAAGTTTTAATGGATCACTAAGGAGCTACTTCAAATCCGATTTAGATATTGTACAGTTCTTTAAGCATTTTCAAAAAGCTGTTGATGATAAGTGTACTAATGAAAGCAAGTTGAATTTTGACATGACCCAACGAATATCTGTCTTGAAGGTTAAGCTTCCTTTATTGATATAAGCAAGAGAAATATATACTGCAACCATATTTGATTTGTTCGAAAAGAAGTGGGAAAAGTCATTACTTGTCTCTATAAATGACTTTCATGATGAAGGAGAATTTCTTAAATACATTGTTAGCATGCATGGAAGTTGCATGGAGCATGTAGTACTAGTGAAGTGCTCAACAGAGATAATCTCTTGCAGTTGCAAATTGTTCGAATTTTCAGGTGTACTATGTGGACATGCTCTAAAGATTCTGGACACGTTAAATGTCAAGGATAAGATTCCTGACCATTACATAAACGGAAAAGGTCCAGAATTGCCCCTTTACTATGGTATATTGTTTACTTCTTTCACCCGTTATACTTTTTGTCCAAATTTATCCCTACCGTTAATAAAGTTTGCATAATTGCCCCTAACCCTAACGGATCTACACGTGGCAGCTGACCCCTTCAATTTTCTCCATGCCAGCTGCCAAGTCAGAGTCCATGTCACTATTTAAAAATATATTTTATTTATTACACTTATTTACTAAATCAGCAAATTAAAAAAAATCCCCAAAAAGTTTGATTCTTCTTCTTCCCCGATGTTTCTTCATCTTTGCTTCAAATATTTCGATCCAAACAAAATTTTTAACCAAACAGACTCAGATCATCCATAACTTCTCCACATGAATATTCTCAACAAACTCCAAAAATACTTAGCTCAAACTTCAGCAAATCAGAATACCCATCTTATGTTTTTGAGCTCTCTTACAGCTCCTTCAATGGTGATTTCAGCAGGTCCCACACACTGCCAGTTTTGGACTCCATATAACTATTAAGACGATCCAATTAGTTTGAAATTAATACATTAAACTATTAAAATCGAACTTCCCCACCACTACTTTCCAGATCTAAATCTCAAATCTCTTTCCAATCAAAATCCAGAATCTTCTTCTATGGCGGTTCGAACTCTGTACGGATTGGTGTTCTTAGCAGCGCCAAGAACTTGCTTCATCTTCCTCTACCTCCTTCTTCAACCTATCTTCAACTTCACCGCCTAATACGGCGGCGCCGCTATGAACCGACCCCGATTTGGACCGGTCGCAGATGAGTCGACGAACCGGAAATATTTTTTACCTCCATCGCCGCCTTCTGCTTCCAAATCCTTACACGACGGCAACACGTAATTCCGGCGGGTCGGTTCGTAGAGTAATACAAATATGTTGAATGTATAGCGTTTATATTTGAAAAAAAAACAGAGATATTGCTTTTTATTTTAGATTCTGCTTTTTATTTTGATGGATCTGGATTTGAGTTGTGTGATCTCGTTTGTTTAAGTTGACCTGCTTGAAAATAGCTTAGTTATATTGCAGATTACTTTTGACCCTTAATTCAAATGCAGAATATTAGAGGGGTTGGGTGACCTGCTGACTTGGCAGCTGACATGGAGAAAATTAAGGGGGTCAGGTGCCACGTGTAGATCTGTTAGGGTTAGGGACAATTATGCAAACTTTGTTAAAGGTAAAGATATATTTGGACGAAAAGTATAACGGGTGACAGAAGTAAACAATATACCATAGTAGAGGGCAATTTTGGACCTTTTTTCTTATATATATATATATATATATATTAAAAAGGTGGACAAAAGATGTTACCAACTTGGTTGCAATGGAGATTAAAGTGTTTATTGAGGGAAGTGATCCAAAAGTTGAAGTTAGTACAAGGTATAGACATTTATGCCAAACTCTTGTCCAAATTGCAAGTGAAGCTTCAGAATCCAAAGAAGGATATGAGTTGGTTGCACAGTATTCCAACGAGATAATTGCAAAGTTGAAGGAAGTAAAAATAAAAATGTATCTCATGAAAGTCCATCAGTTCCAAGCGAGGTTCTCCATGATAAGACAATATTTGTTGATAGTGCAAATGTCACAAAGGTAGTTAGGTTAAAGAAGAATCAACCAACTCGTCGCTCCAATACTCGACCAAAGAGTTTTGTGGAAAAGACCAAGAAGAATAAGATTCAATCACCAGTTTCTCCTCCATTGCGAACTGTCCAGCATGTAAGTCACCTTGCAGGCCTCCAAGCACCATACACTTTCAAGTCAAAATCTAATAGACCAAAGAACAGAATAGTGAAATTTTGAAATTCCACACCAAAAGATTCAGTTAAAAAATTCTAATATCAAAGTCCATTCTTCCCACACCAAAAAGTTTAGTTGGTAAACTCCACAAACACATGATGTACAACTTTTTACTCGACAATTGCTACAACAAGAAATGAACAAAAAAATATCTAACTTCTAAGGAATCAAGTTAATGGAGAAAGAAGAACCTGGCGAGAATTGTTCAGAATGAAGTTCCACTACTTGCTGTATTGTTCTCAATGTTTTCACTTGATGCATTTTTTTGCTGCATTTTTTTCTGTTGATTACCTTCAAAGACTGAATTTTCATGGTAATTTTCTCTGGTGCCATGATTTTCGGGGGTGTCTTGAGAGCAGATGTATTTTGGCGCGGAGAGGGAAAGATTATAGGAAGATCTACCGCTATAATTGTAGGATTGTAAAAGATATTTGGGAATAAATAAAAGAAGCAATTAAAAACTTTAACTATGGTTAGGAATTTATTTTATTCAATTAAATTTTATTCATTGATTATTAACCATGATAAGTGTCTCCCATCCAAGTAGGAACTCGGAGAAATGGAGAGACTAGAAAATTGAGGGGAGTTGGATCTTTGATATATGATATGACTTTTTCTTTCCTTTTTGTTCATCTTGCAGGCTAAAATATTTTGGTACGACCCACTGTCATGTTCCCTGTTGCTGACCAAGGCAATTATTATAAGTACTATATGTAATTCTTAATGTAAGCTAAAATCTTGTAGCGATTCAACATCAATTGCGATAAACAAATAAAAATACAATTAGCACGTTATCCCCTTCTTGCATTCTCTTTTACCTCTTTATTAGCTTTAGAGCTTCTCATATTATAATAATAGTATGATTTGATTAGATGGGTTAAAGACAATTTTACATGTGATTTATATTTTATTTTTTTAACAAACAGAATCATGTGTTGCATTTGTAGTTTCTACTGCTATTATTGCTCAAGTTGGCACTGCAAATTTCTTAGGTAGTGTTGCAACATTTTGCGCCGGTTGTATCTGATTTTTCAAAAAAATACATTATGGATTGCCCTTTTATTACGAGCAGAGGGTCCATATTTGAAAATATTGTTGACTATGTAACAAATAATAAGTTGCATCTTGAGAATTACTATATCTGTATGGATCGACATGATGAATGCATGAGTGATCCTCATGTAAGTAGGAAGTCTTCCCAAAGCGGACTAATTTTCGTAGGGTCAGGGGCGGAGCTACAGTAGTTGGTGCGGGTTCGGGCGAACCCAGTGATTTTTTTCGAAACCCTATATTTGTATTGAAATAATTACTAAATCTATATAAATATATACTGTTGAACCCAGTAACAAAAGGGGTCTTGGTTCAACAGTAAGAGCTGTGGGTTCGCTGAGAAAAATGGGGGTTCCATTCCCGTTGAAAGCAGTATTTTATTTTAAAATTTAGAACGCACACACTTCAAATCCTAGCTCCGCCTCTACATAGGGCTATGCTTCTATTAATCCATTTCTCGTACTTAGTTAATTACATTCGTCCAAGTTTTCTCTTTGTATTTGTGTAGTCTTCAACAAGCACTAAAACATGATTCATTTCCTGTGCATGGTAATATCGAGTTAATCCTTAAAGCTTTAAGGTAGGGTCCGATTACCGTGTGAATTGATTAATATGCAAGCTTCCTTGACCGTAGGTATGCAATGATAAGTTTTTAAGTACTTAAAAGTGAGTTGAATGAATTACTTGCTCTGATTTTGTTTTATATTTCGGGATGTGTATATCCACGAGTTGCATGAAATGAGACAATCTTAGCCATATGTCATGCTTGTTATAAGATATGGAGAGTAATTCAGTGGCGGACCCAAGTGGTGGATAGCGGGTTCAACTGAACCCGCTTCACAAAAAAATAATATTGTGTATATGTATAAATTAGGATTAAAGCTGTATAAATTTTGTATAAATATTTTATTTGAACTCACTTGACAACTACTAATTTACGACTAAATTTATATACTTCTAAAATTGAACTTGCTTGCACAAAATTCTGGGTCAACCGTCGGAGAGTATCAAGACGAACCTTATTTCAACATAAGAACACTCATAACTTCTCAGGGGGCACGAATGAATACGCTCGTTTTGCATGCAATATGCTGTATGACTTTTGGGCTCCAAAAAATATAAACTGAGAAATTCCCTAGGCTTTTGCCTTTTATATTATTTGACCATTGTCTAGTAAATTGTTGTCTAGTTTAAATAGTTGTAATTAGACTAGTACTTTTTGGGTGGAACTTTGCGTCACCGATAATATGAAAGTTGTTTGGATTGGGTTTTAAGCTGGTCAAATTAGTTTTTAAGTTTTTTTTTTAGTTTTTTTAATGTTTGGCAAAGTAAAAAAAGTGCTTAAAATAAGTTAAAACTGCTTAAAACAAATCAAAAGCAATAAGTTGGGTAACCTCGATTTATTGTTTTTTGGCTTAAAAGTTATTTCTGCTGAAAATTCACTTTTTTTAAGCCAATCCAAATGGGCTCTACTTTTTGGTAGAACTAGCAATTGTTAAAATGAGTTTGGTCCACTCTCATTGACTAAGTCTGTCACGACCTAATTTCACCTATATGTCGTGATGACGCCCAACATTTACAGCTAGGCAAGCCAACTAATAAAATAAATGTAAATCAATTATTCTTTAAAAAAGTTCCAAGTAATTCTGTCCTTTTTTCCTAGCAATATTAATGAAAATGGAAAAGATACCGATTAATTTAAATCCAAGATAATAATACAATTCCAAATTCTACCAATGTGTATGCCAAGACCTAGTGTTACAAGTGTATGAGCATCTAGTAGATTATACAAAACTCCTAATATTGTCTGAAATAAAATAGACAAAATGTAAATACAAGAAGAGACATTGGTAGCTGTAGAACGGCTCAGAAAGGCAGCTCACCACTACGCCTCTCGATAACGTGGATGTGCGATGATAGGTCCTGCACTAGTACCTGCCTCAGATCCTGTACAAAAAGTACAACAAGTATAGTATGAGTACGTAAACAACGTGTACCCAGTAAGTATCAAGCCTAATCTCGAAGTGGTACAGACGAGATGGCCGACTTTGACACTCACTATGGATCAATAATAATATTTGAAATAAAACTAGAATATCTAAATCAACATGATTCACAGAATTAACAATAATTTATTTAACTAGCATACATAATTAAATTCCTTCAAATGCAACAATTCCCAATATATTAGTTAAATTCCTTCAATTCCAATAACTTTTTAATTTATCAATTAGTCTCATTTACAGGAATAATAATAATTCCTTAACAAGTAGGAATAATAATTCTTTAAATTCCAAAGATTTCCAATTTATCAATTAGTTTCGCAAGCTGCAATAAACTATCAAAGTATCGTGTAATTATTATTATTAGGCACGATTTCTGTCGAGGTTGTACGGCCCGATCCAGAGTGTCGTGTACACTACCGAGGGACGTGCGACACGATCCATAGATGCATCTATCCTGCCAAGGCGTTCGGCCCGCTCCACAAGAAAGGAAGACATTTTCTTATGTACCTCCGGAAGGAGAGTATATTGTATAAGATAAATTCGGGAGGAAGAACAATTTCTCTTAACAATTAATTAATTTAAACAGAAAATCANAATTAGACAAGAGACTTACCTCAATTTGCTCTAATTTAATCCAATAGAAGGCCTTTTCCACGATTATACAACTTTGTCTCGCTTGAATCTAGCCAAGAATAATTCGATACAATCACTAAAAATTTTAAGAATCAATTCCATAAGAAAATACTATATTTTTCAATAAAAATCCAAAATTAACTCAAAAATAGCATGTGGGGCCCACATCTCGGAATCCGGAGAAAGTTACGAAATATAAACGCCAACTCAACCACGAGTCTACCCATACCAAAATCACTAAATTTCGATAATAATTCGGCCTTAAAATCCTCAAATCTATCCAAGAGGGTTTTCAAACTTTTCCAACACAATTCAACAATTAAATGATAAAAACAGTGATGGATTCGGGTAATTTAACCAATATTGAGTTAAGAACACTTACCCCGTTATTTTCTCAGAAAATCTGCCAAAACTCGTCCAAATCAGAGCTCCAAATCGTTAAAAATAGAAAATGGGATGAAGTCCCATTTTTAGAACTTAAACTCTCTGCCCAGTGATTTTTTCTATACGATCGCGAACTTCCTCACGCGATCGCGTAGCACAAATTCTTCTGCCCAGAAAATAACTCTACGCAATCGCGGTGCACAAGGTTCCAACTCTACGCGATCATATCCCTCTTCACGCGATCGCATAGAGAAAACGCGTGGCCAGCTTCCTCTCTAGTTTCCCCTATGCGATCGCAAACAATGCCACGCGATCGCGATGCACAGGCTGGCCCAACCTACACGATCGCGGACGTTCCCACGCGATCGCATAGAACAATATTTCCAGCTTCCCAAATTAAGCCTACGCGATCGCAACCCCATTCACGCGATCGCGTAGAACAAATTCACCTCTGCCCAAATTACCCTACGCGATCGTAGACTAACTTACGCGATCGCGTATAAGAAAATCAAAAGAAAAATACCAGCAGCTATCAACAGTCTCCCAAAGGCCAAAAGTGATCCGTTAGCCGTCCGAAACTCACCCGAGCCCCTCGGGACCTCAACGAATTATACCAACAAGTCCCAAAATATTATACGAACTTAGTCGAACCCTCAAATCACACCAAACAACGCTAAAATCACGAATCATCCTCCAATTCAAGCTTAATGAAATTTAAGATTTTCAACTTCTACATTCGGAGTCGGAACCTATCAAATCAAGTCCGATTGACCTCAATTTTTTCACACAAGTCATAAATGACATAATAGAGCTATGAAAATTTTTGAAACTGGATTCCGACCCTGATATCAAAAAGTCAACTCCCCGGTCAAACTTCCAAACTTAAATTCTTGTTTTAGACATTTCAAGCCTAATCTAACTACGGACTTCCAAATAAAATTCTGAACATGCTCCTAAGTCTAAAATTACCATACGAAGCTATTTAAACAGTTAAAATTCTATTCCGGGGTCATTTTCTTAAAATATTGACCGAAGTCAAACTTGGCCTTTTACTAAACGGAGCACCCTTCTGGGTCTTATACTGTGTATTGTGATGCATCATGTATTGGTCTCGGTGCAGTATTGATGCAAGACGGTAGGGTGATTGCCTACGCATCCAGACAGTTAAAGGTACATGATAAGAATTATCCGGTCCCCGACCTTGAGTTAGCAGCTATTGTTCATGCCTTGAAGATTTTGCGGCATTATTTGTAGGGTGTCCATTATGAGGTCTACACCGATCACCGGAGTCTACAACATCTATTTAAACAAAAAGGATCTTAATTTTTGACAGCGGAGATAGTTGGAGTTGCTTAAGGATTATGATATCATAATTCTCTATCATCCCGAAAAGGCCAATGTAGTGGCCGACGCCTTGAGTCGTAAGGCGGAGAGTTTGGGAAGCTTAGTATATTTACCAGTAGCAGAGAGGCCTTTAGCCTTGGATGTTCAGGCCTTAGCTAACCAGTTTCTTAGATTGGATGTTTCCGAGCCGAGCCGAGCTTTGTCTTGTGTGGTTTCTCAGTCTTTTCTTTATGATCGTATTAGAGAGCGTCAATATGATGACCCACATTTGCTTGTCCTTAAGGACACAGTTCAACACAATGATGCCAAGTAAGTCACTATTGGAGATGACGGTGTATTACGGATGCAGAGCAGGCTATGTGTGCCTAATGTAGATA